AATGCCGGCTATAATTAAAGTCAATTATATTGTTGTTCATAAATTACAATAAAAGTGATGAGTTGGTAATTGTAATACTTATTTTCATGACTGTCTACATAATTTCGCAAACTATGACTACTTTTGGGAAGTTACATATAGCCTGTTAATAGCAAGAGTTGACTGAGCACTTTAAAGAAGAAAACCAGCCACGCACACGCCACGCAAGTTATTGAGGAAGGTAGGACACAGAAAAATGTAGAATTTCATCTTCAGCACAGGAGATATTTACATTGAATAAGAACCAATTGATTTGTCCCTGCAGTTGGAGGGTTTGTTTGTTTTTGTGCTGGGGGTGGGGAGTGGTTGACTGCTGTAGTTTGAATGAAGTAATGCAAAAATTAAATTTTTGGTATTTAAGGTATTTCTTAAATACTTGGTGTTCAAAATGCAGAGGAGAGTGGCTATATCACAGCTATAGATTTAAAATTTTTTTTTAAATGACAGAAAGTTACCTGTAGCCTGGGGGGTGGGGGGGGTCTGGGGGGTTGCTTGTTTTAAAAAGCAAACTAGAAAAGTGTTCCCTTTTGAAATCGAACCACACTGTGGTGTAGAGCATTGTGTTGTGTGGAGGGAACTTGGCATGCAAATGAATAAGACTGGTTCCTGCTCCAAGATGTCTGCCATATAGATTAGACAAAAGTCAGAAATGTTTGCTAGGAGAAGGAGGATGGGTATAGAGAAAATGGCTCATGGGAAGAACGTTGAGTACTGTAAAAGATTATAATATCTTTTTATTGTGTACACAATGCACTCAAATTTTGCTTTTCACAGTATGTTGCAGTATACATGTGATTTGTAGGAGCCAAGTCAAGCAGATAGCTAGAACAGCAAAGTAGGAGTCAGTGTGTCTACACACATGCTTTATTTACATTAATACCCATTTAAGGCGTTCCCCCCCCGCCCCCAAAAGTGCTCTTTTCCTAATGTGAATTAAAATAGCTAATGCGCATTTTTCTAGTACTTCACAGCAGAGTGCTTTTATACACGTGCTTGGGGGGGGCAGGGGCACTTTAGTTATAGCAGCTCTGAGAGCCACTAATTAAAAGTGCCTGGGGCATCTTATGTATCAGTGTCCCTGCTCTTCATCGTGGTGATGGGGGTGCTTCATTTATAGCTTGTTCAGGCTTCAGATAAAAGCACCCCGTCACCATTTTGAAGCACAGGAACACTGATACACGAGATGTGGGAGGCTGCTGGAGTGGTAATTATTAGGCCTGTGCGAAGCGGCTAGTATTTGCTTTGGATTTGGGGGACAGTGATTTGATTCAGTGATTCGAATCCCAGCCCAGCAATGGCTGTCTCGCCCACTTCAGCTCCCGGCACTTTGGAAAAAAAAGTGCCCAGACTCGCTGGGTGCTACCAGGCAGGGGGTGATCCCCACTGCCCCACGCTGTGGAGGTCTCTGCACGAGCCCCACAAGGCTGCTGCAGTTGGTTGGGGTTTTTTGGGGTGGGGGGGTTCTTAAAAGGCCAGAGCTGGGGTGGGCAGATGGGCAAGTTGTGGCAGAGCCCCCCATGCAGTGTGGGGCAGGAGGGGGCAGCAGGGATCGGCCCCCCACTTGGTGAATGGGGGCTTTTTTTTTTAAAGCACCGGGAGCTGAGGCTGGTGGGGCAGCTTTGGGGGGTGGGGGCAGGCAGGAGATGGGGCCTGGTGGGGGTCCCCCCCATGGTCCCCTCCCCTCCAGTCCCCCCACCCCATACTTACTGGCATGGAATCTGGGCCCAGCTCTGCTGCAGCGGGTAGGGACTGCCCACATCGTCGAAGCTCTATGAATCAATTCGGACCTTTTAATTAGTTCCCCGATTTGATTTTGAGATTCAGCTACTGAATAGAGTCGAATCTCCTCCGAAGCAAATCAGCACCCGGAGCTTCACACAGTCCTAGTAATTACCATGCTGCAGCAAACTCGATTAATCAAGTCTGCTCTGACACTCCGAAATTCCAGCATGTTAGAGCAGCCTTCCTGTTCATGTATAGGCACCCAGTGGTACTAGAGTTAATGTGCATTAATGAATGTGTAGGTCTGCCTGCTGTTGGATGGTTTATCTTGAAAAGTGCTTGAAGTGAATTTGTACAGCACACAAGATCTGGGAGGGCACTCACTCTAGGTGTATGGAGTGCCTGATAGGCAATCCTCTCATAAATGCCAAGTGGATGCTAGGAGGCCTACAGGGAATTGCAAAGGTGAAAGATGAAGTGCAGACAGGTTTCAGTTTTGCAAGAAATCAATTGGCACCAGAGATTCAAAGAAAGCGGTAGCCCATTCAAAGCCAAGGGCAGGGAAAAATGCTTTAGGTACAGCAGATTAGCTAGTTTTAGGATGGTATGCTATAAACCAGGGAGACTTGAGGGAAAGAACAGTAACTGGGGAGCGTAAGTTTTGAGCAAGTCTGTTTTGCAGCAATGTGATGTAAACTTCTGGGAATTCCTGTTTGTTCAAAGAGTGGAGAACTTGATTTAAAAAAAAAGGAAACATTCAGCCTGGGACATTGTCAACTGACAAGAAGGAGAATGCATATTAGTAGGGACCTACCGAATTAATGGCAGAAGTAGGCTTCGTGGCAGCTCTTCCAATTTCAGGTTACCCTGCGCATCCCTTCCCCTCCCCCCTTATTGCTGATTGGCTGAAGGGCCCTGGTGGCCCCGCTGCTTGGTGCTGACTGGCCAGGAGGCAAAAAACGGTGCCATATTTAAATGTGCAGTTTTTGCCTCTCCACTGATCAGGACTGAGCAGTGGGAGCCCTCTGCCAATTGTGGGGGTGTAGGGAGGGGGGTGCACAGGGGAACCTGCAAGATTAAAGCAGCTACTGCACAGCCCATTTCCACTGTGAATTCTGTAGGTCCCTACATATTACTTCAGAAGCAAACCGACTGAGAAGTCTGTCCATTATCAAAGGTAAAAATTGTCCTTGCAATCTACAGTTTACAGGGGAAACTAAACAAAGCTTCTAGCAAAGTAACAAAAATATTGATTACAGGAATGGAGTAATTCCTTCAGAGGTTTAGAAGGAAAATGTCCACTGACAAATAATTGAGGATCAGGTCTTGGAGGGTGCATCTCTATACAGTGCATTATAATATATAGACGTTATATAATATTTGCTCTGAGAAGCAGGATGTTAACTTGTATGGATCCTCATATGATGAAGGAGTCTGCTTCTGGTACCCACAAACTCATTTAGATCTAGCTTGGGTATTTCTTTGCTAGATACCCTGCAGACACCCTAGTTTGTAAGTAGTATGCTTGTATCAGAAAGTTGGAAATGCAGCTCATGCTTGCTTGTACTACCGTATTTATTAAAATAAAAGATGAGCCCATAGTCTTGGATTTGAGTACAAGGCAGCAGAGGGGAAGGTGGCTGCTGTGGCTCCTGCTCCAGCCAGGCTTGGGGTCAGAGCTGCAGCCACAGCACCCCACCTCTCCTCTGCCCTTCCACCCACATTCACAGCTCCAGCACCACTCTAGTTCAGGGCATGGAGCACATGATGACACTGGCCCCTGCCCAGCCAGGGGTGGCTGTGGTGGTGGTGGCAAGTCCAGGGCTGGGGCAGTTGCTACTGCTGCCTAGCCAGGTGAGGACTGGAGCCACCACATGTTCTGCATCCTGGGCCAGAGCTGCAACTGAGGTTAAGCAGTAGCTGGGGGGTGGAGGGGTACGGCAAGTAGTAAGGGTCAAGCTATTTGACTCCTCTGCTGCTTTCTCCACTGCAGTGATGGGGGTGATGAATTTTAAGACAACCCTCCAATAGGTAGATTCTAGACATGGAAAGTTATAGGTGGTCCATGTCTAGAATCTAGTTATTCGAGAGCTTTCTTGAATTGGTGTCGGACCTGGGGCCAGTTTTGTTCTAGGTCTTCATCAATGACCTGGAAGATGACAGAGTATGTGCTCAGCAAGTTTGCAGCTGACACCAAACCAGAGTGGGGAGGGGCTTAGTAGTTGTGTTGCCAGCAGGTCAAGGGGAGTGATTGTTCCCGTCTATTCAGCACTGGTGAGGCCACATCTGGAGTACTGTGTTTGCTTTTGCCCTGCCACTCACAGAAAGGATGTGGGCAAATTGGAGAGGGTCTAGCAGAGGGCAAGAAAATAGTGAGGGGGCTGGGGGACATAAGTTCTGAGGAAAGACTTAGGAAACTAGGCTTATTTAGTCTAGAGAAGAAGAGACAGATGGGATTTAATACCAGCTTTCAGCTACCTGAAGCAGGGTTTGAAAAAGGATGAAACTAGATTGTTCTCAGTGGTGGCTGATGACAGAACAAGGAGCAACGGTCTCAAGTTGCAGCAAGGGAAGTTTAGGTTAAATATCAGGAAGAATTTTCCTACTGTAAAACACTGGAACAGGTTACCCAGAGAGGTGGTGGAAGCTCCATCCTTGGAGTTTAAGACCTGGATGGACAAAGCTTTGGCTGGGTGATCTAGTTGGGGATGGTCCTGCCTTGAGCAGGGAGTTGGACTAGAAGGGACTCCTGAGGTCCCTTCCAGCCCTAGTTTTCTATGAATTCAAAGTATATTCAGATACCAGAGATTAAACCTCTTATTCCCTCCTAATAGAAGTTGTGCTGCCTGTTTCACTTATATTGCAATAGCAGCTTCCTAGTTGTTATTGCTACATAATGATATAATGGATAAGAAGCTAATGAGGGACACCATTGTTAGATCACCTAAAGCAAAGAATAAATACAATGCTTATGTACAGTCTTAAACTGTATTACAATAGTTTTGTTCTCCTCTCACTCCCCAAAACTTCATCATAAACAGCTTCTTTCTTCCAAAAAGTGAGTTTTGTTATACACTAGGGTATGGGCAGTTTTACCTATGGGTTAGCTACCCAGAGCACAGGTATAGTCTCAGCCAGGGAGCTGAAGTTCAGAGGGGCATGGTGTCATACTGGATTTAGAAGTCATAGCCAAAGTTAGATAAGCTGGGGTCAGAAACCAAAGCCAAAGACAAGGTAAGCTGAGGGGTAACTGATAGCCAGAGCTGAAGGTCAAATCAGAATCACAAGCAGAGAACCAGAACCAGGGCATACCAGAGGGCTTACCAGAATGGAAGCTGGAGTTAAACTAGAAGATCAGCAAAGACATGCATAGCCGATCAAGTACAAAAACTGATACTTTTGCCCCCACAAGGAGAATGGGCTAGGCTGGGCCTGGCTTTTAAGAGCTGGAAGAGCTAGGAACTGCTGCCCCTGGCTCACTCAGCCAGGCTCTGAGCTTGCTGCAGGTGGGGATGTTTTGTTTTGGGGATGACTTGACGTGATCTCCTAATTGGGACTGGCTGAGTCTAGGATTCTGGCCTGGCCTCATTACAGATTTTTGGGGGATAGAAAACAGCTGGAAGGGGCCATATTGTCTTTCATTAAGCATAAGACTTGAAGCCTTGAACTGTAACACATTTTCTCCCTTCTGCTTTAAAATTATTGTACTTTGCAGCTATAAGTTACTGTTATTCCAGTGTTAAAAATTTGTGAACTGAAGCTGCGAGTATAAGTGAATTGTACCTTAGAACTGAAGCTTCCAAAATTGCTAATCTGCAAAGTTGATCCAAAGTCTGTCTTACAGTCTCAATGAAATCAGTGGGCAGCAGAGATGAGGCTCTAAATCCACTTTTCCAGAGGTGTCAGACATCCAGTACATTCAACCTAATGATGAGTCTGAATGGCAGATTCACAAGCAACAAATTTTAATCATGTTTATGAAGAAAAACTTTCAAATACGATCTACAAGTTCTCTTCATGAGTCTGTGTGCAGTCTGAAACTGTAGTTCTGAAAACTCTGAATTTCCCTACTCTCTGGAACTCTTTTGGTATTGATGCTGACACCTAGAATGACATATTTTGAATGTTAACATTAACTACTTCATTGTTGATCATTCTGTGAATGTGTATTAAATCCTTAGGGCATGAATTAGGAGTTCCTGCAGAAAAAAGTGGGGCGGGGGTGGGAATTGGGAAAAAGGGCTAGAAACACAATGGCAAGAGGAAAGCTGTGTTAGTCTGAAGTCAGGCAGAAGGTAGGGCAGAGTGGCATCTTTGCAATTAACTGGTTAAGGAAGTACAAGCTTTTATAGATAATTCTCAATCAGGAGAATGAAGTCAGTATGAAGTGGAGTCCTGGTCCATGACTGAAGCTCCTAGACATTACTGTAATGTCTGTCCTAAAGGAAAAGGAACAAAGCAGAGCTAGTTCTGGTGCTGAAGTGTGTGCTACTTGATGCATGCTGCTAACAACAACAACAAAGTACTAAAAATAACTATAAATAAATTAAAACAACCCTACATCAAACAAATGTTATGGTTGCAAAATTAGATACTCAAAAGTTAGAAAACACCAGGAGTAAGGTTGTCTGTGCAACTGTAAGTTAGTAGCCTTGTGCATATGAATTATGATAATCATTCATTACATGTTGTTTTATCTACAATTCCTAATGGTTAATTATTGCAAGAAGGTTGGAGTCTCCTTTTGGTCTTTGTGCAAACCTCCTATTGACCTTATTGGTGGCTCTACTATGAACTGAGGAGAATGTATGATCTTTTATTTATAATCAGTTTAATTTGTGTTCTCCAAGATAGGGTTGTGGAACAAGGAAGGTAAAACATTCATTGACTCATCACACCTGCTATCATTTGGAGCCTGCATTTCCTGCTGTGCCATAACATTCTGTTCTGCAGATGAAGATATGCATTATAGAGATGTCTTCTTATATCTCATTCAGATTGATTCATCTGGTCATTCTTCCTCTGCTCCAATAACCTGTAAAATGCAGTTGAATTGTGTATCACTACAACCAATAACACATAGTTGTCTTGGATATGAAAACAGAAGTCTTGTGATTTTTTTTTTTTCATATACAAATATGCTAAACCCACAAAACGTAAAATAAGTGTATGTCAAGGAATAACCATTGAAAAAGAACAATTTAAAGAGGACCCTATGAGTGAACTTTGGTTTCATTTTATGAAATCAAAACAATGCATTTCTGTTTTAGTGTAATCGTCTCCTGTGTTTGAGAATGTCCATAGGTAGGTTCAGGGTCTACATGTCAAATTGGAGATACATTGTGTGCTTTTTACATGCTACACACAGGATTCTCCCTTAACATCATTCCCAGTCTGTTTGTCATGCTATAAAATTTATATTTAATTAATCTAGTTGACAGATGAGCTGATTGAGATTATCTATCTATCTATCTATCTATTACTTGAAGTGATATCTTCACTGACTGTATAAAGTAGATATGTATTTTAAAGATTATTTTGGCATACTCTTACTTAATATAATTGTTCTGCCATCTTTAGGATGTAGACTGGAAAGTGAGTCAGGAAGCTTTGGACTACTCTTATTCTCATAAAGGAAATGAACAATCAAACTTGCAAAAGCGGAAGGAAGAAGAGATAAAGCTACTCCATAATGAAGAGAATGAAAAAAGAAATAAAACCGATGGGGAAGAGAGTGATAACGGAGATTTTAGCACTGAGGTAAGAGTAATTAAAAAACAAACTGGGTGAATAGTTTTCAGAACAAATATTTGAATATCCTGTGGTCAACTTGTTCTGTGCATGCTGCTAGGAAAAATAGCAGAAGAGCGAAAGCAAAATGATAGCCTGTGAATAAGACATTCCCCGTTCGTCTTCCTAGGAGTTAGGTTTCCATACACCAGTCCTTCTAAAATGAATATAATTAGTCTCTTAGAAACTATATTTAATTCTATTCTAGAAGGTTATTCCAGAGAAGCAGTTTTTAAAGTTGGGCACGTTGGTATTTGAGAGAAGGATGTTAAAGTATTTTAGTTTCACTGTTTATGGTTTATCTAGCTCTTCATTCCTACAAGTTTATGTTACATGTTACAGGGTTGATTTTTTTTTTTGAACATTAAATAAAGGGAGTCTTGCTTGGGCATATCTAAGCATGTTTATGGTAGATTGAAGGAGTAAAATGGACACTGAGAGTGCTTCCACAAGTTACGTTTTTTGCGCTATCAGGCCCCTGAAAGTGCTCTACAGCCATGACGTAACACACGTACACAGCTGCAGAGCGCTTTTAGAATGGCCAATCGCACGAAAAATTTACCCTGGTCAAATGAGGTAATGGATGAAGATGCTGTAAAGCAGAGTGCCTTAGGAAACTTGTGTTCCCTCCTGGGTTAACTTTTCCTGCTTTGTGGGGCTGGGCTCATGCTCGGGCCCCAGTGAGTGCCCTGATTCCAAGGCTGTCAGCTGGGGAGGGAGGGGAAAGGAAAGGGAGCAGCCAGCATGGTACTGCCAGCTGCTTTGCCTGGCCAACGCTGGAGGGCGGGGGGGGGGCAAGGTGGAACAGAGCCCCCTCACCTCAGTCTCTCGCCCCCCTGCTACCCCTGCTCGGGTATTGGAGGGAGCTGGGCCTTACCCGAGAGGCAAGGGGGGGACTCCCTTCCCCCACCTCTGGCCTGGGCCTTTTGACAGTAGCAGCACGGAGCTGCCAGCTGCTTTGAATGGTCAAAGCTGAGGGCAAGGTAGAACAGAGCCCCCTTGCCTTGCAGGCCTGGCCTATCTCCCCCCTGTCACAACCCAAGGGTGTGATTTTTGTTTGTGTGTGCTTCGGCACTGCTAAATTATTTCCCGCCACTCGTACCTTTCTTTGCAGGGTGCATTTCTAGGTTGCAAAAAGAGAAATGCA